TGCGAGAGACGCCGACGTCCGTCGATTCATTGCGACACTCGAAATTTATTTCGAGGCCGTTGGCTGTACGACCCCGACACACGATGCAATGCGGATTCGGCTCGCAGCGACACTGTTGCGAGGCCCGGCGCTCGAGTGGATTTACAACAGTAAGAAGATCTGAGGCGAGGGGTCATGGACGCAGTTTCGGGCAGCTTTAATTCAACGTTTCGAACCGATCAATTCCAGCTACATGGCGCGGCAGCAGATTCATCGGCATAAACAGTACGGCAGTGTAACACAGTACACGCAGCAGATGGAGAGCCTCTTCAACCAAATCACCGACCTGACCGAAGGGGAAAAAATCCAAGCGTATACTGAGGGGCTAAAAATGGAAGTCCGCCGACAGGTGATTGCTGCGAACTACAACAACTACCGCGACATGGTGTGTGCAGCAGAGAGATTCGATGCGTTGATGCGAGGTCAACCCGAGACACAACGCCACATGCCGAACAGATCATTCGACACGAAGCGATCGGCACCACCCACGACCGCCGACCCGATGGATATCGACAAGATCGACGCGAAGCAGCGGCCGACAAAATACGAGAAGTGTGAATTTTGCGGCGCAGCGGGACATCGACTCTTGGCGTGTTGGAAAATGAAGAAGGCACGAGCAGAGCTGCAGGGCAACAACAGTGCGGCACCCACGAAGTCAAAATACGTGGCGACTTCGGAGAGGGCGAAAAAAGGAGGACATGATGGCGCGAATTCAAAACGTCACGACCGGCCGGCACCAGGGGAAATCGCCGAGACAAATGGAGGCATCGCGAAACAAGACTCTGCACCGACCGGGAAACTCCAGCCGAACACCCACGAAAGTAAGAATTCGTTAAAGTTATCCTATAAAGATACTTTAACTAAGAATATTACTTCTCGTGATTTTCAAGCCTTCAGGGGAGATTTAGAGGCTAAGAAAAAGCCCTCAGATATTATTCAGGTACCTGAGAAGTTGGGCAAACCACTCCGGAGCGTTGAAACGGGTCGTGCGTTCCAAGGAGTTAATATTCTCTCCCGCAGCAGAGTGTTAGGGCTCCCGACTGCCCACGGGTGAAGCCTACACAGCTGCAACGGCTTAGGGGAAGGTTCCAGGCCAAGACGAAGCTGAATCAGCCTCGGATAAATCCTTCTAACCCTGCTCGGTTGAAGACTGATACGGAGTCAGCAGCTTCGAGCGCAGGACCTAGGGATGATATATTCGACGTACCCTATGATCCTATAAGCGAGACCATCTACGGCTACTCGGAGCGGCAACAACCACTACTCCTCGAGGTGATCTGCAACGGGCGACGCCTCCAGGCGATGGTGGACAGCGGTGCGTCCCACTCGGTGTGTGACCGCGGGACGTTGGAGAAAATTGGAGAGAAAGCGGAGAAGACCCAATTTTCAGCAACGATGGTGGACGGTACGAAGCTTCCCATCCATGGCGAAGCATCACTGCAGCTGCATATAGGTGCGTTGAGGTGGAAGCCGACGTTGCCGATCACGAACATCAAGGGTTTAGATTTCATCTTGGGGCGAGATTTCCTGAAGCGGTTCAACCCCGAGATCGACTGGGTCAATCGGAAGGCGTGCATCTACAACAACGGGAAGCGGATAGAGCTACGAAGCTGGACGGATACAGGGGATGTTCCTGAAACGACACAGGCACAGTTCGAACGGACGGTGAACGGGAGTAACACGGGTTACCTAGCACTGGTCATGGCAGCAGCAGAGGAGGAGAAGCCGAGTTCGGAGCTTCCTGCAGCAGTGAAGGAGGTCTTGGAGCAGTACAAGGACATAATGCCCGACGACCTACCCGCAGGCGTACCTCCAGCACGCACCCACGAGCACGAGATCGTGGAGGAACCAGGTGCGAAATCCGTCTCACGTGCACCTTACCGACTGAGTCCGACCGAACTGACAGACATGAAAAAACAGATCGAGTATCTACTGGACAGACAACTGATCCGCCCATCCACCTCTCCCTACGGTGCACCAGTTCTCTTCACCCCAAAACCAGACGGCAGTTTACGGATGTGCATCGACTACCGCGCACTGAACAAACAGACAGTCAAGAACAAATATCCCATACCGCGCATAGACGACCTACTGGACAAACTTCGTGGTGCAACAGTCTTTTCGAAGCTAGACCTACGGTCGGGTTACTGGCAGATCAAGATGGCGGACAACTCGATCCACAAGACAGCGTTCCGTACCAGATACGGCTCCTACGAATACTTAGTGATGCCGTTCGGACTCTGCAACGCACCAGCGACGTTCCAGGCGGAGATGAATCACATCCTACGGCCCCTGCTGGACGAATGCGTAGTAGTGTACCTAGACAATATCCTCATCTACTCCAAGAACATGAAGGAGCACGTGGAGCATCTACGGAAGGTGTTCGAGATCCTGCGGAAAAATAAGTTCTACGTGAAGCTGTCAAAAAGCGACTTCGCACTGAAGAAGGTGCAGTTTCTCGGACACATGGTGAGTGCCGAGGGCGTACACGTAGACCCGCGGAAGATCGAAGCCGTTAAGAAGTGGAAAGTTCCTGAGAACGTGAAGGAGTTGCAGCAGTTCCTAGGCTTTGCCAACTACTACAACAGGTTCGTGCCACAGTACGCTAAGATAGCAGCGCCACTGACCGACCTACTGAAAAAGGATACACCCTTCAAATGGGGTACTCCTCATCAGCAAGCCATGGAACAGCTACAGACAGCACTGACCACAGCACCAGTACTCATCCTACCGGATCCCGAGAAGGACTACGTAGTTGAAGCAGACGCTAGTGACCAGGCAATCGGAGCAGTACTGATGCAGGATCACGGGAACGGTTTACAGCCCATCGCCTACCTTAGTAAGAAGCTACACGGAGCAGAATTGAACTACCCCATCCACGACAAGGAAGCCTTAGCCATAGTCGTAGCCTTCAAGGCATGGAGGTGTTACCTAGAGGGAACAAAGACCACAGTTCATACTGACCACTGCAGCCGCAAATACATGAAGTCGCAGCTAACACTCTCACGACGACATGTGCGGTGGGTGGACTTCTTGGAGACCCACTTCCACTACGACATCGTCTACAAACCAGGGCTCCACAACAAAGCAGACGCGTTGAGCCGCCCAGGTCATGTAGCAGGCATCCAACTCGATGGGACGAGCCCTCTACTCAAGGGTCTATTCCAACATTGGTACCCCGTGGACACAGAGATAGCAACGGCAGAGAAACAGAAGTTGTTACAGTGGGAGAAAGACTTAGCGGTAAGGAAGGGTTCAGGAAAGATTTGGGTTCCGAATTACGCCCCGCTACGGCAGATCCTATTGGAGGAGTTTCATGACGTACCATATGCGGGACATTTCGGGAGCAACAAGACGTTAGCGGGTAAAGCAAAATATTACTACTGGCCTCAGATGGCAGCAGACGTGCAGCAGTTCGTCACCTCCTGCGACACGTGCCAGTGGATGAAGAGTAGCAAGCAGAAAAAAAAGGGTTACTTCAGCCTTTACCCGTACCGGAGCAGCCATGGCAGGTCGTTAGCCTCGACTTCATCACGGGACTTCCTTCGACCTCACGAGGGCATGATTCCATCCTCGTAGTGATCGATAAGTTCTCCAAAATGGGTCACTTCATACCGACCAACGCCACAGCCACTGCTGAAGCAACTGCTCGACTCTTCTTCGACCGCATCATCACCATCCACGGCATCCCCGCTACACTCATCTCAGACAGAGACCCAAAATTCACGAGTAAGTTCTGGAAGGAGCTTATGGGACTGTTGGGGACTAAGCTTGCAATGTCTTCAGCATACCATCCCCAGACTGACGGACAGACAGAGCGACTCAATCAGGTGGTTGAACAGTTACTGCGCACAGCTTGCAAAGATGACATCAGCCACTGGGACACACAGTTACCGACCCTAGAGTTCGCTTACAACAACGCCTCGCATGCGGCCACAGGGAAAACTCCTTTCTTCCTGTGTTACGGACGGGAACCACTCACACCACAGCAGCCAACCACACCGGCACACGTCCAAGCCGCACACGACTTCGTCACCACCATGCAGCAGCTATGGGAGAAGACTCAGCGACGTCTCACCACGATGCAGAACTCCCAGAAGCAGTATGCCGATCGTCAGCGACGAGATCACTCAGTAGCAGTCGGAGATCAGGTACTTCTCGACACACGCAACTTAAACCTGTCTCACCTACCATCCAAACTCCGGCCTCGCTTCTGTGGTCCTTTTCTCGTGGAGGCACAGGTGACACCAGTAACATTCCGCTTGCGCTTACCAGATACGTGGAAGCTTCACAACGCTTTCCATGTTCAGCTACTAAAGCCCTACAAGGACCCCAACCAACAGTTCCAGGGACGGCAGCTACCGCCACCACCACCTGTTCTTGTGCAGGATGAACCAGAGTACGAGATCGAGCGCGTTCTCACTCATCGGCGCCGCGGCGGCAAGACCCTCGAGTTCCTGATACGCTGGAAGGGATACGACCCCACTGAGGACAGTTGGGTGCCAGAAGCTGATATGGGCAACGCACGCCGTGCTCTCAAGAACTATCTTGTCAAGCAGGGTGTATCTTACGCCACCCAGCTTTGATGGGGGGACGTGTGAGAGTACGACGGCTTATGCTGGCTTTGCTAGCTTGCCTAGACTTTATTATGCATTATCTAGCTTAGCATTATTTTGCTTTGCTTGCTTTTGCTTGATTTCCTAGGTTCGTTGCTTTTACTATAGTTATTATAGTTATAGGCACCGAACTAGGTTGCGTACACCGAATTCTAGGCTTTTCGGTTGCCACCGAATTGCCTTCTACCGAATTCCGGAAGGGTCTGTTCGGGACGCTTTGCGACCCTCGGAACCTTCTCGTAACACCTGGTTACCTGCCTTGTGTCGAGCCTATATATAGCCTCGCCTTGTACCCAGGTGAAACATTCAATTCAAACTCTCTTTTCTGAGCTCGATCCTAGATCCTCACAGGAAGTACCGCTCGCGGCCCTGCCCCTGGACGCGGGCTGGGCCCCACACGTCCAGGTGGAGAGTCTGCAGTGGAGCCTCTGTAGGAGGGAACGAGGAGGAGTGAGGAGCGGCGCGTTGCCGCCCCTCGACGCAAGGAATGCAGGGCGGCACAGGCGAGGGAGGGAGGGAGGGAACAGACCTGGGTAGACCAGAGACCAGGGAGCGAAAGTGAATGCCACGAAGGCGGGGCAGGGATTGGTGACCAATTCGGGAATGGCGCGAGCGAAGAGCTTGTCCGCAGTGGTATCGTGGACAAAGGCACGAGCACCCCAGACCCGACGCATTGCCAACCTTCCCCGTCCAACGTAGTGTGGGCAAAGTCTCCGGCAAGGAGACACTGGGCCAGAGGTTGAGCTGATGCGCGGCGTACCGGACCGCAAACGGCCACGGAAAATGGGGAGCAGCCGCATGGATCATGGAGGTACGAGCGACCTCCATGACTAAGCCAATGCGGCGCTCAGCAACTCCATTCTGCTGCGGAAAAGCCGGAAGTGTGAACGACTGGAGGATGCCCTCCTCCTCACAGACAGCTCGCAAGAGGACGGAGGTGCACTCACCACCTCTGTCAGAGTGCAGACGCAGGGCAGGAAAGTCCGAGTGGAACTGCTCGCGGAGCTGGAGACGAACAGCGCGGATCCAAGGGATCAAAACAGCAGGGACGTCCCCCTTGCACAGGAAGGGGAAGACCGTCGTGTAGCGCATGTAGTCGTCGACAACCAGCAGGAAGTACCGAACGCGGCCCTGTCCCTGGACACGGGCTGGGCCCCACACGTCCAGGTGGAGAGTTTGCAGAAGAGGGTGCCTCTGTCGGAGGGAACGAGGAGGAGTGAGGAGCAGCGCGCTGCCGCCCCTCGACGCAAGGAATGCAGGGCGGCGCAGGCGAGGGTGGGAGAGAGGGCAGAGACCTGGGAAGACCAGAGACCAGGTAGCGAGAGTGCATGCCACGAAGGCGGGGTAGAGAGGGGTGACCAAGGCAGTGGTGCCAGAGGAGAGTCTGGTGCGACAGGCGGCGACACTCACACTGGGTAGCTACCTGAGCGGACGCGTACAGCTGAGGAGACAAAGGGGTGTAGCGCGACACTGTGATGAGGGTGTACAGATTGGACCCAGGCTCACGTATGAACGTGGCCAGGTGGCAGCCAGTCTTAGAGCACGTGCAGATCGCCACACGCTGTCCTCCAGGAGTAAAGGTGTCAACCCAATGATCCTGAAGGACGATGTTTCTCACCAGGTTTGTAGAGAACGAGGGGATGTGGAGACCTGACAGCTCACCGGACGGGACCGCCGGGCACGGAAGCACAGTAGTGGACCGTGCAAGCACTGGGCCCCCAGAGGGGTTAGCCTGTGAGACAAGGACAGGTGCAGGAAGGGGAGTGACTGTGGTACTGTCGCGAAAGAAACAGCGGGAAGCACCAGAGTCAAGTGTAAAGGTGTGCAAGGCCTGAGCCGACGCAGTACCAGGGAGAGCAGACTCACTAGCACCTAGGGCTGCAGCCTCTATACCTGGGTCAGGCGGCATACACAAGTAGCAGTCACCCTCAGCACTAACAGTCAATGCATACATGGCAGTAAGAATAGCATCAAAGTGTAGATCAAACATAGGAACATCACGCCTAAGCAGGTCTGCCCAGTTGGGGAACTCAGTAGCCTCAGGAAACTTGGCGCGCCAGGCGTCGCTAAGCCGAGCGAAGCAGCGGTACTCAGTGTGAAAACCGTTGCATGGGCGACCAGCGCGGGGACCACCGACCAGGACCCCCAGACGCCCCACGCTGAGCGTACCAGTCATGAAGCTGCTGAGACGTGGGGGTCTGGCGCTGACGCTGCTGCTGCTGCTGCTGCCCCTGGCCACCACTGGAGCCCCCCTTCTGGCCGGTTCCACTCCAGCCCCCACCACCGCTGCCACCACCACTCCCTCCTCCCCCACTAGCGCCGCTGCCACCGCCACTGCTCCCGGTACCACCGCCGCCCCCACCACCACCTCCACCCCCACGACCACCCCCACCACCTCCACCTCCCCCGCCGCCTCCACCACCCACCCCTCCACCGCCACCTCCTCCTCCCCTGCCACCCCTGTTGCCCCTGGCGCTGCGGCGCTTCCCACTAGGAGCAGAAGCAGCCCATACCTCCTCAGCACCAAGGAAGTCGACAGCAGCAGCAGCAGAGGCGTAGGAGGGGGCAAGAGGGGAGGGGGAGCACCCCTCAAAGAGGGGAGTGCAAGGAGTACCACGAGCGGCACCTACAGCGAGAATGTTCTGTTCGGCTGCTAGGAGGTGCTTCTCGAAATCAGCGACAGTGAGAGTGGTAGGGTCTAGGGCGAGAAAGTGGTCCCTGACTGAGCGAAGAGTGTCAGGGAGGCGGGTGACGAGGAAGTAGAGAGTAAAGTATATCAGGGGGGGATTCTCGGCGAGGAATTCGTCTGGAAGGGCGGCACGAAAGCGAGCGTCACTAGCGCGAAGGTGAGAAATAAGGTCTTCAGCGGTGGTAAACGAGGACAGGTCGGGGAACAGGTAGGGTAGGAGAAGACGACCTAGGGCTGCAGTGGCTGGGGAAGAGTAGTGGGCAAGCACTACCTCATACAGTGCCTTAGCAGTCTTGTGCTGACTAAAATGCGCGCGCTCAGTGATCGGCAGATGGTTGCGAATAGCGAGGCGCGCAGCAGCATCGCGAGTCTGCCACTGTGAGCGGTCGAGAGTGGCAGCAGTGTCAGCAGGAGCAACGGAAGTTCCAGATGCGTGATCGAACAGTGAAACGCCGTCTTTGGCATCAGTCATAAGAAACAGTTGCAGGTCGTCGAGCCAAGTGGCAAACTCTATCGGGCGACCGTCAGGATCGAAAGCGAGAACATTGAGGGTCGCCATGATTGCAGCGCAGGTAAGAGTAGCGCGCAGGCGGCAAAGCAGAGCGCAGGCCGAGAGAAGCTGCGCGCAGGGCTGCAGTGGCGGCGCACGAGCTGCTGGGGCGGCGCGCAAGTGGCTAGGGCGGCGCGCAGGGCAGCCGCAAGGCGCGCGCAGGCTGCTGGAGCGGTGCGCGGGCGAGTAAGGCGGTGCGGGAGGTAGTCGCGGGCTGCGCGAGCGGCAGAGGAAGCGCGCGGGGCAGAAGCGGGCTGCGCGGGGGCGGCCGAGGCTGTGCGCGGGGCAGCCGCGGGCTGCGCGAGCGGCAGAGGCGGCGCGCGGGGCAGCAGTGGGCCGCGCGAGGGCGGCGGAGGCTGCACGCGGGGTAGCTGCGGGCTGCGCGAGCAGCAGCAGGACTAGGGCAGCGCGCGCAGGCAAAGGCAGGGCGCGCGCAAGCGGCGCAGCGCAGGCAAGGCAGGGCGCGCGCGGGCGGCATAGCGCAGGCAAGGCAGGTGGGGCAGCTCAATAACCGCAACGGTAGGTGGGCCTGAAAAAAAAAAAAAAACAAGAGGCGACGAGATCGTCTTAGGGTTGCGAAGGTATGTTGATTTTGTGCCTGTATCACTTCTGTTTGTTAAGTTTTTTCTTTTGAATCAAAGTTATCCAGATTTCAAATGGTTATAAGGCTGTTAAAAGAAGAATTAAATAATTGGCACTATGGAGTTCTGGCAGTGATTCTCAGGAGTGAACTTAGTTGCCTTGGTAGAATTCAAGCATAGTTCCACTAGCAAAAGTTGATTGAACAAGAATATGGTACAAGCAAGGAGAACCAAATAGCAAAGACAACGAACCCTGTAGAAACGTTCCTCGACAAGCACCTGAATCTGTCGAGTCAGCAACGGCAGGTGAAACGACAAACACATGCAGATTTCACCTTAGTTGGTAGTTGCTCAGGCTTACAACGTTCATAGTTGTGCACGTTTTTACTGTTAGTAAAAACGTGTTTCAGGTTCTGTTCCTGGGGAGTACAATTTCCGAAATGCTCTGATTGGTCGAAATTTGCTGGTTCGTAATTGGGTGAAATTCAAGCACATTGCAAATTTTGAAGTTATGTATTTCTGGTTGACCAGAATCGCTCTGCTCGACGAAACACTCGTTGTACTTAATTCTGTTGACCACCAATCCGTCGAACCACCGCTAAGAGGGTGTTGCGCTACTTGTGCAGTACGTCGGGCATGGGGCTAGTGCTTGGAGGGCGAGACCGAGTTGTACTTACTGGACACTCAGACGCTTCTTGGGCGGACGACCAGGCTACTCAGCGGTCGTCTCAGGGTTACACCTTCAGCCTTGGCTCTGGCTCAGTTTCTTGGCATTCTACACGCTCTTCTTCTGTTCTCAGCTCCAGTTGTGAGGCTGAGATCTACGCCACAGCCATGGCTGCCCAGGAGCTACGCTGGCTGACCTACCTGCTGACCGACTTGGGTGAGCGGCCTCGTTCTCCTCCAGTGCTTTACGTCGACAACCAGGCTGCCATTGCCTTGTGTGAGGAGCACAGACTGGAGCACAGAACGAAGCACATCGCCCTGCGGTACTTCCTTGCTCGAGAGCTGCAGCAGCGCGGTCAGCTTTGTCTGCGTTACGTGGCCACTGAGGCCAACCTTGCTGATGTGTTCACCAAGGCGCTTCCGCCTTGTGACCATCAGCGCTTCTGCACTCTGCTAGGCCTTGTGCCTACTGGACCTCACTTACTTACCTCTTGACCTTGCTTGTACTGTGATCACTATATATATATCTACCTGCATGTTTACTCTTGCTAGGTTGTGATCACTGTATCTCTTGCTCTGTTATAAACCTGCATGTGAACTGGTCTTGTGACCACTAGCTTGTGCTCAGAATTTGTGTGGAATCCTTGAGATCCACCCTGAGCTTTGTCTTGTTTGCTTTTCTTGCTTTGCCTTGACTGGTCTTGTGACCCCTAGGTCTCCCCCACTTTGCCTATGGGGGTGTGTCAAACATTGTATATGTTATATTTGTGTAGGCTGTAGTGGGTTAGCCTATAGGGGGGTCACAACATTAGGGTTTCATATTTGTACTCACAGTCCTTTCTAGTTCACCATTCCAGTCTGTTGTTCCGACAGCAGCAGTTCCTAGGCTTCGCCAACTACTACAACAGGTTCGTGCCACAGTACGCTAAGATAGCAGCGCCACTAACCGACCTACTGAAAAAGGATACGCCCTTCAAATGGGGTACTCCTCATCAGCAAGCCATGGAACAGCTACAGACAGCACTGACCACAGCGCCAGTACTCATCCTACCGGACCCCGAGAAAGACCACGTAGTTGAAGCAGACGCGAGTGACCAGGCAGTCGGAGCAGTACTGATGCAGGATCACGGGAACGGTTTACAGCCTATCGCCTATCTCAGTAAGAAGCTACACAGAGCAGAACTGAACTACCCCATTCACGACAAGGAAGCCTTAGCCATAGTCGTAGCCTTCAAGGCGTGGAGGTGTTACCTAGAGGGAGCCAAGACCACAGTATACACTGACCACTGCAGTCTCAAATACCTCAAGTCGCAGCCGACGCTCTCACGACGACAGGTGCGGTGGGTGGATTTCTTGGAGACCCACTTCCACTACGACATCGTCTACAAACTCAGGCTCCACAACAAAGCTGACGCGTTGAGCCGCCCCGGTCATGTAGCAGGCATCCAGCTCGAAGGGATGAACCTTCTGCTTAAGGGTCTCTTCCAACATGGGTACTCTGTGGACAGCGAGATTGCAACGGCAGAGAAACAGAAGCTGTTACAGTGGGAGAAAGACTTAGCGGTAAGGAAGGGTTCAGGAAAGATTTGGGTACCGAATTACGCCCCGCTACGGCAGATCCTGTTAGAGGAGTTTCACGACGTACCATACGCAGGACATTTCGGGAGCAACAAGACGTTAGCGGGAATAGCAAAGTATTACTACTGGCCTCGGATGGCAGCAGACGTGCAGCAGTTCGTCACCTCATGCGACACGTGCCAGCGGATGAAGAGTAGCAAGCAGAAGAAAGCAGGGTTACTTCAGCCTCTACCCGTACCGGAGCAGCCATTGCAGGACCAACGCCACAGCCACTGCTGAAGCAACTGCTCGACTCTTCTTCGACCGCATCATCACCATCCATGGCATCCCCGCTACACTCATCTCAGACAGAGACCCAAAATTCACGAGTAAGTTCTGGAAGGAGCTTATGGGACTGTTGGGGACTAAGCTTGCAATGTCTTCAGCATACCATCCCCAGACTGACGGACAGACAGAGCGACTCAATCAGGTGGTTGAACAGTTACTGCGCACAGCTTGCAAAGATGACATCAGCCACTGGGACACACAGTTACCGACGCTTGATTTCGTTTACAACAACGCCTCGCATGCGGCCACAGGGAAAACTCCTTTCTTCCTGTGTTACGGACAGGAGCCACTCACACCACAGCAGCCAACCACACCGGCACACGTCCAAGCCGCACACGACTTCATCACCACCATGCAGCAGCTATGGGAGAAGACTCAGCGACGTCTCACCACGATGCAGAACTCCCAGAAGCAGTATGCCAATCGCCAGCGACGAGATCACTCAGTAGCAGTCGGAGATCAGGTACTTCTCGACACACGCAACTTAAACCTGTCTCACGTACCATCCAAACTCCGGCCTCGCTTCTGTGGTCCTTTTCTCGTGGAGGCACAGGTGACACCAGTAACATTCCGCTTGCGCTTACCAGATACGTGGAAGCTTCACAACGCTTTCCATGTTCAGCTACTGAAGCCCTACAAGGACCCCAACCAACAGTTCCAGGGACGGCAGCTACCGCCACCACCACCTGTACTTGTGCAGGATGAACCAAATTACGAGATCAAGCGTGTTCTCACTCATCGGCGCCGCGGCGGCAAGACCCTCGAGTTCCTGATCCATTGGAAGGGATACGACCCCACTGAGGACAGTTGGGTTGCAGAAGTTGATATGGGCAACGCACGCCGTGCTCTCAAGGACTATCTTGTCAAGCAGGGTGTATCTCACGCCACCCAGCTTTGAGGGGGGACGTGTGAGAGTACGACGGCTATGCCAGCCATGCATGTTTGCTTTTATCTTATTACGCTATCACTAGGTTAGGTTTATTCTATGCATGCATGAATTGCTTGATTTCCTAGGTTCGTTGCTTTACTATAGTTATTATAGTTATAGGCACCGAACCAGGTTACGTGTACCGAACTCAAGCTTATTCGGTTTCCACCAAAATGCTTTCTACCGAGTTCGGGAAGGTTCTGTTCGGGACGCTTCGCGACCCTCAAAACATTCGCGTAACACCTAGGTTACCTGCCTTGTGTCGAGCCTATATATAGCCTCATGTTGTACCCAGGTGATCATTCAATTCAAACTCTCTTTTCTGAGCTCGATCCTAGATCCTCACAACGCTGAGGCGATCGCGGGTGAGTACTCCTCTCAGTGGCAGACAGCTATGGACGCAGAGATGGCATCCTGGAAGTCCACATGCACTTACGTCGATGAGGTTCCCCCTGTTAGAGATAAAGGAATGAGTCTATGAAGATTATGGGGCGAAATATCTTCATAGACTCAGTCCTTAATCTCTAACAAGTGGTATCAGAGCTACAACATACTCGGTTTTCGTGAGATTCTAACGGTGAACTTTTCGGCGACGACGTTTCTTGTGAAAGCGATGGTTCTGTCTTGAAACTAAGACCAACGATTTTGTGTTATTTCGGCACCAAAGCTTCTTAGACTCCGTCTTCAGTCTCTAAAAAGTGGTATCAGAGTTGATTAAAGACTTTGTGGGGAGCCTACTGAAGCGTGAACACCCTCTTCGACCCACCATGGCCTGTTGGCGTGCCTAAGTGGAGTTCTGGAGGTTGGGAGTGACTTCCGCTAAGGGGAAACTCTGCCGAAAT